TTGATAAATAAACTTAATAGAAAAAATTATACTTCAAATAAAAATACGAATCTGATATACAGTTAGGAGTAATCAATATCATGCTAGTGACTTATACAAGATAGTTATCGTATTGTATCAATTTGCATAAAGTTTAACAAAATTTGTATGCTATATATTTCATGACTCAAATATATATGTAAGTAAAGTCGTATTTATAAGATTGAAAAAAATCCAAATATGATTTGGTAAGACTAGCAATGAACATGTTATTGGTTTCAAATGACATATTATGGTTAAGTCTTACAGAAAGCATAAACTTTGTTATAAGGAAAAAAAAGAAGAAAAATAAAAGTTAAATTACATAACTTAAAAATCAATTCGAGATTTGATACACGATACTTAAGTTTTACACAAGATTGAAGAAAATTCATTTTAATTTAAAATTTAAAATTGTAAAAGAATAAAAAAAAATTAAAATCATGAAAAGGGCACAAAATAAAAGATTTAAAATTATTAACATTTATTTAAATAGTAGTTTATGGACCGACAAAATTTTGATTCAATAATTATTTAAAATTTAATTCATCGTAAATACCTAAGTTTTAAGTGTTATATGTAGAAAAATTAATTAATATACTTTATGTTATATTAAAAAAAACTTTGTAATATTATGAAATTGGAATTAATAATGTTTTAAATTTTTTATTAAACGTAAATAAATTGCAGGGTCATGTGAAACTGATATGTTCAAAGTTATTTAACAGGCTAAAGTGTCGGAGGAGCTTAATAATTTGCACCTGGTAACACCCGAAAATTACCATCGACTGCCACTGTTGTTGTAAGTGAATGAGAGAGACAGACACCACCACGCTAAATGAACCAAACGGGAGCGGATTCGAAAATTTTTTAATTTACTCCTGTTGTTTCTGCTTCTTTAACATTTTCCCATGAATTAAGCGTGGGCATTTTCGCTTTCTCGTTCGAAGATAATTCATGTTCCTGTATCCATCGAAACCCTAGCTAGAATCTTCTCTTCTCTCGACCTTTTCCGCGGAAGAAATGGCTTTTTGGTGGCCGTTGATCGTCTTGGCATTCGCTTACGCGATCTGTCGGTTATTGTTGATGCTCATTCCTCCCAATGTGCCTTCCATTGATGTCGATACCTCCGATGGTCATTCTCTCTCCTTTCCTGTTAGTGTGTATTATTTGTGTTTGCATGTTTATGTGTTGATGTGATGTGTATCTTTTATCTATAGTGTTGGACGATAGAAATCAGACGCAGGATAATGGCTACATATATGTGAGTCTTTCTGTTTTGGTTTTTTTTTGAGTTGATTGCTTGTATTTTCACTAGATTTCGTTTTGAGTAAGTTCGGTGTTAGATTTTGATTTTGAGTTCATAAAAGCACTTTCTATGTTGATGAATATGTCATTTCCGAGAAATTTAGTGTTTCGGTTAAGTAAGTGTATTGTTGATTTTTTCTCAAAAAAATAAGCTGGTAATTATTAATGTGATCTTTCTTAGGACTTCAAAATGAGTTTGTGTCCAATTACTTTAGTTTGTAAAATCGCAATTGAATTGGCTAATTTTTATGTACTTGCAGTTTAAATCTCAGGTCAGGTCTATAATGTCTGTTCTATTTCTTTTGAAGTTTCCAAAATTATTGGTGCTTCAATTATCGGTAGCAGGAGCTTGACCATGCTATGCTGTAGCTAATGCCTTTATGTTGTCAACACTCTGCATGATTGTTACTTGGCAGGGGCAGCACTAACAATTATGTTTGTTTCTCCTATTTGAAATACTGAGCAGATACCTCCTAGGGGAAGGATCCAGCAGTCAGATGAAAAAGTTCGGTGCTACGAGCCAGCGACTATGAAATACTTGGGATACTTCCCTGCATTATCACCTCACGAGGTTAGAATCATTAGAATACTCGCCAGGATTTATTGCTTCATGCTGCAATA